ATAGAAATTATATTCCATGAAAATGGTAACCAAAAAAAACCAGGAGTGGCTGTACCAATATCAGAGAAAACAGACTTAAAGGAGTCATGGGGTAAGAATGCTGACTAGAGACCATTCGCCAGATTGTCTCAGAAAGGAGGAGAAGTTTTACATGAAAAAAACACACAGCTCAGGTATAATTCTGAGGGAAAAGTGCCAGAACTTACCAGAGATTTCACAGGAAAAAGCTGTGGAGAAAAACAAGAAGGAGCAAGACCTCAGTAGAGATCAACCTCTAAGAAACTTTGAGTCCCAGGGAAAGGGTATGCAGGCGTTTTGTTTCTCCTGCCCTCACACTTCTGGTAGTCAGCAAGCTCCTGGACTGCTGAAGAGCTTTTCTGCTCTCCTGAGCCCAAAAGTTACTGCCACCAGTGAACTGGGAGCTTCTTGAAAACAAAGCATCAGGTTGCCAGCCTCCTCAGGGTCATTCCCTGTCACCACAGACCCAAAGCAGTGGGCGCCATACTGTTTCTCCACCCATTGTGTGCCTTTGTCCTCCCCGGGGACCTTCAGTCCTTCAGTTTTCATGTCATTGGTCCCCACACAAACATTTCTCAACTCTGGCCCAGACTCCTGTGGCCACGTGGGCTGGTGGGTTCCAAGTGATCTGTGTGATCCCAGAGCTTAGACATTCCAGGTTGGTGGCTTTACAGGGAGAGGAACAAAGATGACCAGAGTGCCAGCTCTCCTCCATTCAGACTCTTTTCCTCCCCTTCCCCTCGCCCACCCAGTGCTGCTGAGTGGCAGAGGCACCCCAAGGAACCATTGTGCCAGAACTATCAGGACCAGCTACAGCTGCTTCCCCTCTGCTGGTGCATCCACTACATTGAAGCTCCCACAGAGAGTAAGGCTTGCACCTTTCCTTTTAAAGAGTGCAGTGGACCAAGTGGTGCTACGACTGTAAGCTCCCTGTCTGCTGGCCCTCTCTAGTGTTGCTCACCTGGCTGCTCCAGCAGAGCAAGGAATACCCTGAAGCAGGGGACATTAAACTGCTTGAGCACTCCACAGGAAACTTGGGACCAGCACACTTCTCCCTGGCACAGTCGGGGATTGAAATTGGCGGACCATGGTGCAGGCCTGCAGGCCAGATACCGTACCTCCAGGAGCTGATAGTGTTGCTTGAGGGCACCAAGAGGAGTTTTGTGAACTAATCTTGGGAGGGAAGGGAGCCCACACAGACAGAACTGAAAGGAGAGAGCAGTGTGGGTCTGAGCCGTAGCACACTCATGATCACCCCTCCCCCACAGAAAAGCTGCACTTTTGGTCCCTGGTGGGATCCTGGGTAGCCTGCGGCGCCGCTGCTGGTGAGCTTAACTACTTTGGACTGCAGCTTCCTGCCAGGAGGAGTCTTCAGGACAGAGGAAGGGGGGGGAAAGTGAAACCCTCTCCTAACAGCCAGTCTGTGAATCCCAGATGGCCCCTCCCCCACAAGCAGACTTTCTGGCTTGGTAGGGCCACTTCTACCCCTCCCTTGTGGCTTTCCCCAGCTGCCTGAGAGCAGACCCTTGACCCCTGCCCAGACAGCTCTTATGCCTGCCTTTGTGGAGCCTAAAGGCAAGTCCATCTTACCCAGTCCCTCCCAGGCTTGCTCCTCTATCAAGCTCTACTATGGTGGAGAAAAAGGAATCCCCTGGGAGCTCAAGGGCCCTCGCCACCACCTGGGGCATTCAAGTGCTTCTCCTGATGGACTAGAGCTGGTCACACGTCCCAGAAAACAACACTGCAGCTGGTTACAAGCACCAACTACTGGCAGGGAGGACAACTTGTACAGCCCATAACAGCATTTACAGACTGTTGACTCAATCATACAGGGCGTGGCTGGCTCTCAGCCACATGCACCACCTACTGTCTCAGAGTTTAAACTGGATGTTGCAATATAATTCTCACTGTTAAGAAGACCACAGGGCTGGGTAAAGAGAAAGGATTTCAAAGACTCTCTCCTTCCCTTGTCAACAAAAGAAAAGGAATCTGCCCACGCACATAGCATACAACTGCTAGAGCCTACAAATAACTAGCAACTGAGCAAACCGCCACACTAAGGGCATCTATAACCAAGGAACTCATCCTGAACCTAGACCCCCATCAAAGTATCCACAATCACAGTCAAAAGTCCTTATCCAACATATGCTACAGACACACCTTTAAGAATGAGGGGGAAAAAAGTAAAAAAAAAAAAAAAAAAACAAAACCCAATCTAAATGAAAAAATTCCAAAGACAAGAAACGACAGCCACTCCAGATGAGAAGAAATAAAGCTTTAAAAAAAGGAACGAAGAAGAAAAGGTTTTCTTATTGACAGACAATGTAATTGTGTAACTTAGAAAAATCAAAAAGAATGTACAATATATTAGAACTAATTAGACAGTTGGAGAAAACTGTTGAATAAAAGCTCAAAAGAAATCAATAACATTCCTGTATTTCAGAAATAATCAATTTTAAAATATAATAGAAAATATATTACTGACTATAATACAATGTTATTTACAATAATATTAATAGCTAGGAATAAATCTAATAGAAGTGGGCAATGCCATTTTAGAGGAAGTTACAAAATCTTACTACACATTCATGGATGGTAGGATCACCATTCTCTCAAAATTAATTCATAAATTAAATGTGGTTCCAATCTGCTTTCTAACATTTTCGCTAACACTAACAAAAATGATTCTCAGTATTATAACCTAATCAAGGACACATATAGGGCTTGTGACTAACAAAGAAAATAAAAAACTAGATTTCCAGCCAGGCACAGTGGCCAATGACTAGAAGCCCAGCACTTTGGGAGGTCAAGGTGGGAGAACCACTTGAGGCCAGGAGTTCAAGATCAGCTTAGGCAACATAATGAGACCTTGTCTCCACAAAAAAAAAAAAAAATTAAAAACTCAGACAGGCCTGGTGGTACACACCAATACTTCTAGCTACTCAGGAGGGTGAGGTGGGAGGATCACTGGAGCCCAGGACTTTGAGGCTGCAGTGAGCTATAACTACAGCACTGCATTCCAGCCTGGGCAACAAAGCAAGATCCTATCTCAAAAAAAAAAGAAAAAAGTAGACTTCCCTATCAAACAGTGAGTCAAATTATATAACTACAATACCTAAAACCATGAAAATAATAGGAAACAAACCCATACACACAGGAAATTTGGAGATGTGAGGGAGATTACATGACAAGTCAATAAACTATTGAGTAAATGATGTGGAACATCATACCCAAAAATGATTAAAAACTTTGGGGCAGAGAAAACTTTATCATATAAAACTCTTAAAGTGAAAACATTAAGAAGAAAATATAATAATAAAATTGACTCTATAATTCACAAACTTTTGAAAGTTCAATTCACCTTACTCAAGTTTCACAAAACAGAAGATATGTTTGTAATATATATAACAAAGCATTAGTATGCAAAATAAATAAAGAATGCTTACAAATCAATAAGAAAAAGACAAACACCTCAATAGAAAAAAGTCACAGAACTAAAAGTCACAGCAAATCACAAAACTGATTATTTGAATGACATAAATAAGGAAATAAAAATTATCACCAACTAATCATGTAAATGTGAATTAACAAAAATACCACTAACCCTTATCACACTACCAAATTGTTTAAAGGATGTAGAAGCAGAAACTGATATAAAAATTAAGAAAACAAATGCACCAGAATTTGATTCTCTCAATGGCTCAGGCTTAGTCATTCCCTAATTGTGCACTAATAGATTTAAGATATTTCCTCAAATATCAGCAATGGATTGATTTACACAATCAGAAAGACATATCCTTCTCCTCTTAGAAATTCATGCACACATTCGTATACACATACATCCATATATACTACAGTCGTCCAAGGAGGATTGGTTCCAGGACCCCCTACAGATACCAAAATCCACAGATGCTCAAGTCCCTTATAGAAATGGCACAGTAAAATATTTGCATAGAACCTACACACATCCTCCCATATACTTTAAACCACCTCTAGATTACTTATAGTACCTAATACAATGTAAGTAGTTGTTATACTATATTTTTGTTAGTATTAATTTTTGTTGTTGCATTGTTATTTTTTATTGTTTTTTTCCAAATACTTTTGACCCACATTTGGTTGAATCCACCAATGCAGAACCTGTGGATATGAAGGGCCAACTGTTTATATTTGTTGAATAGCTATATATACACATGAATCATGTGTGTGTGTGTGTGTGTGTGTATATATATATGTATGTATTTTTCTTTTTATGTGCATACACCTATTTACTAGCACCAAAATTTGTATCTGGCCTTTTTGGCAAAATATACGGTAAAAAGAAGCTACATGTGATAGGAAAAGAAATGAGCAAAAACCTTCTCAAGACAAAGAGAATGCCACAAAAAAGCATTATTTTGAAAAATCCTGATCAAAAAGGACATAAGAACCCACTGCTTTGTTTAGTGTTAAAAAAGAGAATGTAAGATTATAAAGATTGATTATAACTTTTATCTTCTATAAAAATAAAATTTTATTACGAATAAGGGCCTTTAAAGCTAAAGCACCATCTTAGAACCACATGAGTATTTTTAACTGTTTAGTGTTTTTTTATACTTTATTTTATAAAGGACCTAGCAAATAAAGTCAATACTATATTGCAATGAATTCTAGCTATAATTATAAATTTAAACCTTAATTGAAAAAAAGTAAAAACCCATGATTCTAAATATGTTTTTTCAAAATACATTTTATTTCAAAATGCAATAGCCTTTATTTTTTAATGATTACATTTTAGGATAACTATTTGAAGTCAGTTTCCTGCTTTGCAACATCAATTTTTAAAAAGCTGTGGGTCTTAAGTGAAAGAATATAAATTAATGCTAGTCCCCACTGGTGGATTTGAATATATAACTTGTTATTTAAAGAAAATAACATGTATTAAACTTCCTATAAGAAGTTAGATCCAAAATAGTAGCGTGGATTCCATTCTCGTTGTATACCTTTATTTTTGCATCAATGCTATATTTTTCTTTTCTCCAATGTGCTTCCTGCTTCCTTAATTTCTCCAGGTCATTTAGCAGGTCAGTGCAGCGGGTACTTAATTTCTCATTTTCCTCCTCCAGATTTTTTATAACTAGTCTGTTTTGTTCTTCTTTATTCTGAACACACTCCTTAGTGTCCTGTAGAACAGTACCACAAGGGCCAATAAACAAACAAACAAAAAAAAAACACCAAAAAAAAAAAAGTGAGAACTAATCAGCAAATATAAACTGTGCAGTTTTACCCTCACAGCAGCTTCTTCTATATTTGATAGCCAAGGTCACCTGTGTACTTTTATTGGCCTCTTTTCATGCAGGTGGATGGGTCATATTTTTTCACTGGATGACAGCTTTGATGAGTACACATTTGCAAAGAGCCCATTAATTGATCAAGCTGCCTTTGATGCTGTCCCCAGCTATTTTTGAGACCCACACAGACATATCCTCCCAGACCTGGGTTTTATCAATTAATAATGCCAGTCCCATCAGAATCTAATTACAAGAAGCCACATATTCACACTCCTACTTTCTTAGCTCCATTTCCATCATTAACTATTTATCTGAAAGTTATAAAGCTTGGAGTTCTAGCTTTAAAGCATCTTTATCAGAGTTTCTGCATGTGAAAAAACTGTATGGTACAGCAGAGCCTAAGGCAATTTTTCCTCCAAGCCTGTCACTTCCTGTGCCACAAAGGCTGACAAAGCTTAAAGCAGGGCTTCAAAGCAACAGTCCTACAAAACTATGTACAAGTCAACACACCTTAACTTCTTGACTTTTATCTTTAAATTTCTTCTCTAAGTCACAGAATTCTTTCCTTAAGAAAGCATTTTCTTCATCTACTGCAATCTTCCGTTTTACAAGGTCATTTATTTCCCGTTTTAGTACTGTTTCTCTCTGTGGAAAAAATTTAAATCATTGGTGAGCTTTTATTTTTAAGAAAAAATTATTTTTATTTTAAAGGTTTTAGATTATGATTACTAATGTTAGGATTAACTAGCTTTCATAATAATGTCCGTAATCCCAATTCTCATTTCCTGTGACATGTTCAGGAATTTTCAACTAAAATGTGCAAGTAGGATGACTATTTATGATGAACACACAAAAAACTGGACATCGAATATTAAGCTACACTCAGAAAGCAAACTTTCAGAATTTAGGTATGTAATGGAGAAAAACAAGATTTTACAAAATATTCTAATTAGTCTCTTATTTGAATGTCATGTTAGAAAATTTTTTGAAAAACAACCATGATTTTGTGAACGCATACATCATTTTTAAAAATAAAAAATGGCAAGTTTGCTTTGGTACTAAAAATATTCAGAATATTAAGACTGCTACCATTTTTAACTGAATATTCTTCTCAACTGCCAAAGATACCTAAATGAAACCTAATTAGTAAGTGTACCCATGACTCATCCTTAGGTTTCCCTCTTTTTCTCTTTGTAGCTTTTTCTCTCAAAAAATTTACCCCCTCTCTTGGCTTCTAGTCTTACCCCCATCTGAAAGACTATCCAATCCTTAATCCAGCCCTGACTTTCCCAATCACCAATCTCACATTTCCAGCTTTCTATATGAAACCTCCACTTGGATTATTGCTGCTACTTTAAGCTAACATGCTAAAACTGAAATCCATATCCTGATACTATCTCTTTGCTAAACTTCTTCAACTTTTGTCAACTCAGCCATTCTTTCAACTAATATTTATTAAGTATGTACTATCTGGCCTGACATAATTATTACAAGTCAGATTCAATAGCACCATCTTTCTGACATATCAAGATAGAAACACACTTTTTAAAAGTAATATGTTCAGCAGACCTTTATTCCATCTCTGATCTATCATTGAGGCTGATCTCAAAATATCAATTTATTTTGTACTCCATATTTACTCCCTACCAAACTCTCTCCAAAGGACTTCAGGATAAAGTGAAAATGAGGGTAAGATTCATGGACAGGATGAAAAGTGGATTGAGTTTTAAAAATAAACCGAGAATATCCCCTATATTCTACTTTTCTAAAGCTGTAATGTTAATTTATTTATATTCTACTTAAAAATATTTTAGACACTGACTACATACAAAAACAATCCGTGGCAAGTGTGTAAAGAATAAAGAAAGAGAATAAAGGGAGCAGCCCTGTACCCACCACCATTCAGCCAAGAAACACAACTTTACCGTTATCTTTGCAATCTCCTGAATGTCCCCTCGCCTCCTATTCCCTCCAAGGGTAACCACTATCCTGAAACTCTGATTCTTTTTTTTTTTTTTTTTTTAATAAACAATAGTTTATTTGGCTCACAGTTCTGGAGGTTAGGGAGTTCAAGAGCATGGTGCTGACATCTGGCAAGGGCCTTCGTGCTGTGTCATCCCATGGCAGAAGGGCAAGATTAAGCATAAAAGCAGGGAAAGAATAAGAGGGAGATGAACTTGCTTTCATAACAAGCCCACTCTCATGGTAACTAACTCACTCCAACTCTGATTCTTTTCCTTACTTGTTTTTCTTTAGTTTAAAGACCTATACACAAACACACACACACATACACACACACCCCTATTCAATATACTGTATAGCTTAGCTTATTTTTGAACTTATACATTAAATCAAACTACACATATTATGTGGGTTGGTGTTATTTTTGCTCAATATATGTTCCCAAATTCATCTATAAGAATGAATGTAGCGGGGCTGGGCGCGGTGGCTCATGCCTGTAATCCTAGCACTTTGGGAGACCGAGGCGGGTGGATCCCTCAAGGTCAGGAGTTCGAGACCAGCCTGAGCAAGAACGAGACCTCGTCTCTACTAAAAAATAGAAAGAAATGATCTGGACAACTAAAAATATATATATAGAGAAAAAATTAGCCAGGCATGGTGGCGCATGCCTGTAGTCCCAGCTACTCGAGAGGCTGAGGCAGAAGGATTACTTGAGCCCAGGAGTTTGAGGTTGCTGTGAGCTAGGCTGACAGCCACGGCACTCTAGCCCAGGCAACAGAGCCAGACTCTGTCTCAAAAAAAAAAAAAAAAAAAAAATGATAAAAAAGAATGAATGTAGCTGTAGTTCAATGTATAGTATTATTTCATTATACAGATAAGCTATATTTATGTCTCATCAGTATATATTTCAGCTATCTCCTATTTGAGGGAAAGGGGTATACAAACAATGCTGCTATGAACACCCTTAAGCATGTCTCCAGATATACATGAGCAAGAATTTCTCCCAAGCAGTATTTTTTAAACTACTGTTTGAAATCTAGTAATGGGTCATTAAATCAATTTAGTTACCACAATCAGCACTTTTTTAAATGGAGTAAACACCACAGAAAATATAAAAGTGAGATGTACAGATTCTTAGCAAAAAACTACACCCATAAGAATAAACTTATGAAATAAGCAGACATACTTCATAAATTATTTCCTAATTTTTTTGTACTTAATTTGGGACTTTTATTTTCTTTTAATATTATTAAATTCACATTTGATATAAACACTGTTGATGTTTACCTTAATTATACATAGTAAGGATCACTATTGTTGTATGAAACTTTTATTATGTTTAATACTTCATGCGTGTATACTGGGTCATGAAATAAAATGTACTTCTTTCAGTGTGGGGATGATAGTAATAAAAGTTTGAAAAACACTTCTCTAGATTAGATATACTTAGAGGTGAAATTGCTAAGTCACAGACTATATGCACTTCAAGAGTTCACATCACTCTACATTCCCATCAGCACTTAACACTCATGCTTGGGAATTTTTTATAAATCCAGTAGGTATAAATGGTACCTCACTATAGTTTTCAATTTTATTTCCTGTTTTAATTATTAGGCCATATCAAAATGGATTTGCTATCAATCAAATATAAAATAGATGCATAAAAATGGCCCATCCACAATTCATAGTCCATTTTTCTAGTCTTATCTAAGTCTTATCCTCTTTCAAGATTCAACTTCTACTTCCTTCATGAAGCTCCCTCAACTATCCTAGTATTTTGTAATTCCTTCCATTTCTAAATTTTTGTAGTGCCTGTATTATACATTTGACACATAACATATGAACTAGTCTTGCTAATTATCTCTCTATATATTCTTATTGTCTCCCAAACTACATTAGTAAATGCTTACAGATAAGATTGACGCTGAATGATAAAGTGATGTAAGCACTAAGCTTGTTTATAAAATATTTATAAGCCTAACCTTTGAAAGGAGAAATGACAAAACTTGAGCATCCCTTGTCTATTCTGAATATTATTTATACTCTAGGAAGGAGAGAACACTGACCAACTGACTTAAGTTTTAGAAAGTTTTTCCCATTAAAGTGTGCTAAACTTAATGGATACTGACAATATAAATGACACCAATAGCAAGCCCTTTCATGAGATTTATTTAATACTTTAAATTTTGGCATTTGAGTGAACTTAGTAATTCACAAGGAAAAACACAGACCTAATTTGTAAATAAAAAAGGATAATAAGGTAATAAATTAGTTGACCAAAACTATCATATTTTGATAATCAGTATGAAATTATATTGCATAATATAGTTTGATATCATATTTTGCAATCATTAAAGTAATAAGACAAAGATATACTCACAACAGAAGAGGACTGAGAAATTAAACTTTCAAAAATTTGTAAAAGTTTATATAATTCAACTTATTTTCCTAATAAAATATACCCTCAATAATCTACTTTAAATAATGAAAGCACAGGAATATATAGTTAAAGTTCATTTTAAAATTTAGCTTTATGACTGTTTTTCAACAAACCCTTTGAATGGAGTACCGTACATTCTTAATGATCTGGCTTCAGTTGATACTAAAATAGCAAAGAGAACTCAGAGGAACCATAAAGCATAAGGGATGACAAGAGAAAGTATGTCTGGAACAAATAATTTATTATGGATAAGCCATGAAATGAATAATTCAAATCACGGTAAAGAGAAGTCTATAAAGAAAGAAAAGAATAACAGTAAGTATGAAGAGGGGGGGAAAAAGCGGGTGGCAGCATAAGACCTAAACACTACCAGGCAATACTTGAGCATAATTAATTTATTATCTACACAGACCCACTGTCAAAATGGACATGAAAGTTTTAACAAAAAATAAAGCAGTAATGAAGCCACAATAACTAAAATAATGGTAAATGGAGAAAGGATAAGAGAACTAATTGCAATTGGAGAATCAAAAATTACTTATGAGCTTCCCAGAAGGTAAGACGAAAGGGTTATAATGTTAAAGAACAATCATCATGTAATTAAATGCAATATACTAAGTTATCAGAACTCATGTTTTCAAGAGCAATACTAGAAGAAAACCGTATTACATTATTTTATACCTAACAGTGACAAAGCTAAAGCATAATCTTACCCAAAAAAAGCTGTATGGCAATTCTTTATACTAATTATTAGATTGCACTTCTATGAAAGTTTTTCTGAAACCAGCTAAAAAAAAAATACTGTGTATGTAACTTTCTAATAATTTGACTAGATGCACAATGAAGATTCAAATAAGCCAAAGGAATTACCATTCCAATTGTTACTTTATTACATAGCTATAAATATTAAATAAGAGCTATTTAATATTACTTAGTGAAGTAAACAAACCAAAGAAAACCTCCAAGGAGAGACTTCAGGTTTCCAGTCTAGCAAGTACCAGCATGTAAGGAACTTGAAAATCATCTCTTCTATTCACACAACAAGAAAAAAACTGAACTGAAAATCAACAACTCTTCTTAGATCCATAAGAGAACTGAGATCATCAGACAAATAAATGTCCCCAAAATTAAGAGACAAATGGATCTAGATAATAACAACTTAACTATAGCAGAAACTCAGGAGCAAAAATCTTCACAGGAATGAATACTAGGGTAGAAAAACCTACTCTGGGCCGGGGCGCGG